AGATTTTTGTTCAGTGAAGTGGGCTGTTATGGTGTAGCAGAAACAGAATGAGAAAAAACTCCCAAGTCAGACAGACCTTGATCTGAACTCAACACTCTCTACTTATTAGGAAAATTGCTCTACCTTTTTAATTTCTAGTGTCTTCACTGTCTCATTAGCATTTTGTGAAGATCTGAGGTGAGGCTAAAGCAACGATCTGAAATTCAACAAAGTAGAATTGGAATACCAGTTCCAAACTTTATTGTAGTTAAAACCTTGGGGCAAATCTCTTACCCTTCCCAGGCCTCAATTTTTCATCTGTAATGTGGAAAAGCTGTTATGTTTCATAAAGAGTGTTTGTTTATAAATATTGTCAGGAAGTATTGTATACTGTAAAGTGTCTGGAAAATGTTAGATGCATTTATAATGTCATTTTTTATGAGATATTAGAACATCAGAAAAGATTACAAGAGTTTGACATATTTTTGCCCTTTAAAAATGTTACAAAATTTGGCTTAATAATTAGTGACTTACGCTGAGTTGATTTATACACTGGAGTCTCTTCTAGGGGCTTTAAAAACATTGCATTATCCTGGAGTGGTGGCACATGCCTATAATCCCAGTGACTTGGGAGGCTGAGGCAAGAGGATTGCAAATTCAAATCCAGCCTCAACAATTTAGCAAGACCTTATCTCAAAATGAAAAGGACTAGGGACATGGGTTAGTGGTTAAACCTCCCTGGGTTCCGTCCCTGGTACCAAAACAAAAACAAAAAAACACTGTACATGATTTAATRTCCATTTTGAATTGGAGATGGGGAGTAGTGATCCCACATTGTGGATGAGAGTGTTTGGGTGCACCCAGGCAATGTGATTTGCCTAGCTGTGACACGTGACTGGGGGACAGATTGAAGACAGCCTTGTTTTGTGTGATTCCAAGGCCAGTGCTCTTTCTTTCCTTCACACTCTCATTTTCCTCCTTGTCTACCGATGGACATATATTTCCATTGTATGATAGTTTCTCAGTTTGCTTTGTGTTCATCAACCCCTAAAGTCCAATGGTAAAAGGTCTGCAGGTTTGCCCAAGGCCCAGCCATGACACTGGGGCTGTACTGTATCCATATTGTTGGAATAGAGTCCTCAGTGGTCCATTTTTTGATTTGTTAASATGTCAACATTTAGAACACATTTTGGACAAATGCTACAGAAGATATGTCATCTTGATGGCACATTTTCCTGTCCTACCCACATAACAAATTTGCTCTTAGCAGAAAACACCTGAGACTCTTTTGAATCGTGTTAAAGATGGATTGCAGCCCATTTTGTAGTTCTTATTTTGATTCCATGAATTATTAATCTTCCTAAACTTTATTATTCATACTAGGTAATGCAAAATGACTTTCTCCAAAAGGCAAGATAATGACAGACTTAATTAGCTTCATGACCACTCTAGTAAGTCAATAATAAATACCCAACACTTCATAGATGACAAAGGGAAGTTAACTGACAGCTGTGAGAAGACATTTGAAATAAACCCGGTGTTCTTGACTTTTACTTATGACTGTCCTATGCACTGAGAAAAACAGTGAGAAAAGATTATCCAAGGTGATTTTCTTCTTCAGAAAATGCTAAACATCAACACACTGCAGATGAACTTGTATATAATTTTGACTTGGAATTTGGTTACCTGTGAACTACATTATTGGAAAAAATTTCTTCTCCTCAGAATATGTCTCTCTTAGGAGCTTAATATCCGTTAAAGATCACACAGTTGTATAGGCATCCACTTTAGCTCCCACAAGACAACGTAGATTTTTAAGGCATACCTTTTAGAAGCTGGTATTTCTTCTTAGGTCATTACACATACTCTCTCTCTCTCTCTGCAAGCAGCTGTCATCAGGTAGAAAATGGGGCCAGAAAGATTTAACTGACAGCCTTTTTAAGACTGTGAACATTATTATTCTGGACATGGTTCACTTCAGTGAGGATGATGAGAATATGGCTTAGGAATTTGATAGTTTGTCCCCTATAGAAACATAGTTCTTTAATGCTTTCTGCTTAATCATTTCCTATGTTTAAAATGTTCTTAATTCAATTAAACACTGTACAAATTAAAATAGATTCTAATGACAACAAGATTTAAAAAATGTGGCTCTAGGAATATACTGATGAATTTCCTTTCATCTTGATCACTTACTGTTCTTTCTTGGATTGCTAGTTTATCCTGGGTACTTTGATAGGTCATAAACCTTCTCAGGTCATTTGTGATAGGAGCTTGTGTCTTAGACACACAAACATACACACACAACTTTGTTTTATACATCTCACAATAGTGAAGAATAATGGACTATTTTAATTCTAATAGTGAATTCTTTCAGTTGTAAGTCTGTCAATATATTTTTCTAATTCAGAAGTTTAATTTTTTTTCTTATATATATATATATATACACATATATATATGGACATATGAAACATTATATATAAAGTATATATTTTGATAACATCAAATGCTAAATATCAACACACTTCAGAAGCCACTTTGTTTTAGAAAGTTACTTTGTAAGAAAGTTCCCAAAGAAGTAGGATACTAGATATCTATCTGTGTTGCACTGGTGTGCTCTCCCCATCAAGTTGAAGTTTACCTATGCATAAAGGTATCTCCATGGCTACTCTGTTAGCACGGAGCCCCTTTGGCTTTAGGCTGATTTAGAATAATACAAATGGTTCCCTCTCTAAATAAAATAGTTTTTCAGGATCTAGCTCTAGGTGCTTTTCCTTTTTGAGCATTTTACAATATAACAACTGGACACTTTTTCATATGTGGATTGAGATTTGGCCTTGAAATCATTCTGGGACCATTTGATATTTGTTATTAAAAAAAGTATAGAACCAGTCCCTGAAAAGGCAACCTTCTTTGGGATATCTACCGCCTCACTATTACAGTGCTGTTTGGCCCACTTGGTAAGTTCTAGGGCAGAGAAATTTATAGAGAGTTTATAGTTTTGGAACAGAAAGCAACAGGTGGAGGTCATCTAGTGAGGGAACTCTAATTTATAGATGAATATCAATGAGGAAATCAGGGTTATTTAGCTGTTAGTATTTTCATTAGTAACTTCGTCCATCCATCCAACACGTTCAGAGTCCCTGATATGGATTCTGGAGCTGTAAAGTGTAAGAATAGTCTTAACACATATGCACTCCCAGTCTATTAAAGAGTAAGCTTGACAAATAAGTACATCAAGTGAAACTTTAGATCGTAAAGGTGCATTCAAAGCAGTTGTAAATGAATTATTGACAGAGGAAATAGTAGTTGCATTTTAAGAAATGGGTAAATATTTACCACGTGAGTTAGGAGAGAGGCCTAACAAACAGAAATCAGGAAAGAGCATAGCCACTTTGGAAGACACTGTGTGTCAGTGTGACTGGCACAGGAGACTTGATAGCAAGGAGAATAAGGAATGGTGGAGTGCTGGGTGGCAGTGTCACTGGGGTCAGCCCATGCACAGCTGGACATTCAGTTGGGAGAAAAGGTATCAAGCTCTGTGGGTTTCTCAGAGAGAACCTTCTAAATCTGGGTTGCCCCAAAGCACAGTAATTTATACAACATGTTTGTGGGGAAAACAAACTTCCAAACTGTGGGCTGTGAAATGGGATGGAACAAATGTTCTTTAAGATTCTTTAGTGTTACTAAACAGAATATTTATATGTCAACAGTTTTGAGTAGGATTTATTCAATAATTCAGCAATTTAGGGGAATACAGAGTTCAATTTTCCTTTTACTGAAACATGGGTTCTAGGAAGATAGAGGCCTCAGGGTTACCTTATACCTGACATTGTACCCAGAAATTCATAGGCATTTGATCAATATTTGCCTATTGAATGAATCAATCATACATGAATAGCTAACAAGACATTTTTTTGGAGAATATAAGCAGTCATTATCAAATGCAGTTGCCAGAGATCAAGAGGATTGAAACTTAAGGGCTTCTAGCAGATATAATCAGTCTGARAAAAGTTCTTGCTATAAATGAAATGAGGTAACTAATTTCAAGTACTGAATTTAGGCTCTGTAGTCATTAATGATTTTCATATTGATCTCTAATAGCAATAAGGTATACATACACATATAATGCATGCACTTATGTATATATATGTCTGTATGCATGCAAAAATATGGGTATTTGCTATATGCTCATTATAATGTGTTGTTGTTCTGTTGATATCCTGTTGCTGCTTCCTTCAGACTATGAGTCTTGTGGGATGAAGTGTATTTCTGAAGGCTTACAAGTTGTAGAGGGCTACCTTTGGGAGGTTGGAACATAGACAAAAGGCAACAAGATGCCTGGGACATGTCTTCAGTAAGCTGGGTGATCCATTTGCCACCCTCAGTTTTGCAGTGATTGCATCCAAGAATAGATGTAATTTCTAGAGATTGCATAAAAATGTAAAGTCTTATTTTAAGATTTGCTCAAAGTTTTTTAATTCCAGAAAAAAAACCACATTTCTTTTGAAAGATAAACCTTTGTGTCACAAAGCAGAGAAGCCTGTTAGTCAGCTTTCTGGATTCTGCAAGTTTGTAGATGAAACTTTTCTTGTATTTTGCAATGCCATGCCCAGTTGGCTCTTAATAAAGATTCATTTATCCTTTTCACACTGATAAGCATGGTCTATATGGGATAAACTTTTCTCAGCTCCCATGAATAGAACCCAGTACTGCTAATGGAAGCTTTGTACATTTCTGTGGAGGTGAATAGGCATCGATACAATCCACGTTTAGACTTTCACAGTTATTGATTTATTTTTGGCTGTCTTGAGATTTCAAGGATGATGTTTTTTTATCCCTAAATGCTGTTTGACATTGATTGTAGGTATTTGGTGTTGGGTCTGAGGTTGTAACTTTAACAGGTGTAAGTATTTCTTTCCTCTGTTTCAGCTGAGAAGTTTTGAGAGTGAACTATTCACAACCATTAAGAGACCTCCAGTTTAATTTCTCATCATGCTTATTCTGTAGTTCACATTAAGTCCAGAGTACTGAGGACGGAACGTGTGGACTCTCTAGACATCAGATAGTTGGCCATGGTATTGACCATGGCATCTGAGGATTCCCAGAACTTCTTCCAGTCTTTTTCTTCCTGGATATCCCGAGTTTACGAAGCTCTCCAGCAAGCAGGGGAAACCTTATCAGCTCCTCTGGTGCATTTAAGCAAACAAGACTCTAAATTGAGTGACACATTAGACCAGGACTTAGATGATATTAAGATTCAGGAGACATTCTTTGAAGATGAAGAACAAGACAATGTTTGGAGCCAAGAAGATGCGAATGGCTTGTTTAATGAAGAGGATCATTTATCATGTTGTAATACTGATTTGCAGGACTCTGTCCAAATTTCAAGCCCCAGACTTAGCCAACATGCAAAGGACTCATGTTCCATAATATCTCAGTGGCCCAATCAGACCCTGAATGACCCCAAGGCCTCACATGTGCTTTCTTCTATTGCTGAGGAAGAGCATCACCTTGAAAATCAAAGATGTGGCCTTCAACACASCTTTGACAGCCAGCTTCCTGGCACTTTAGAAAAAGTTAATGGAAAAAAGCAAGGTAAGCTAGCCAGTATCATTTTCTTTAAATTCTTCCAAAGGACTTTTCTATTTGTTTTATTTTGGCTGGTTTTTAGTTATATTGATTTTATTTCTCTCTCTCTCTCTTATACCTTACTTCATTCTGGCTTCTGACTGAGAGATAAAATCTGTAAGAACACTTTCAGTACATAAAACTTTGGAAGATCCATTTTGTGAGCTCCATATTGCAAAACAATAGTTCTGAGCAATTGAAATGCTTAAAATGAATCCATGGATTCCATTTGAGAAGCCCCTTGTGCACATGTCATGCTTTTAAAAATATCTTTAAAAATGTTCTTTTTTTCCCCTCTGGGTTAGGAATTTCTAGATGTTACTATATTATTCAGTGTGAAATCCTGTGCAAAAAGCCATACTTGTTGCAGAATTTTTAGTTGATAACACTCCAAGAACACTTCTCACAGTGTTTCATTGAGATGTGATGTGAGATGACAGTAGATAGGAAATCTTTGAAATAGGAATAGCTTCCTTTTCTTTTAGCCTTGCGCGATAAGGGCACATTTAATAAATGCTGCCTATGAAGCTTCATGCTGTCAGAGCTGAGCGCCTATTGGGCCTTCAATAAATGCATAATGAATATGATAACAATCTAATTAACTCTGTGAAAGTAGCTGTCCTCAGTTCCAGCAGGAATTTCTTATGCTTTTAATACTCTAACCTGAAGTAAGGACATTCTACTGGGTTAAGGACAGATGCAATGATATGCATAGAAGRGGGTTGGGATGTGTTTATAATTTGTAGCTCACACAGATTAGTAAGTAATTAATAGCATATATAAAATCCATTATTCCTTTCTTATTGGAGGGAGCATATTTTTCAAGGATATCTACTAGTCTTTTCATCCATTTTCAGTGTTCCTCTTAGCTTTATCTTTATAGAAAAGTATCTTGTCCAAATACAGGAAGTGTTATAGAAGGAAGCATAATTTCATATTCYTATTATAATGTTTTTTTGATACCCTCACTCAGATTAAAGAATGAAATCCTAGAATGAACTGGTAAAAATGAGGTAGTCTGATATTCTTTCTGAATCTAATAATCTAAAGTCTTGCAATTTTGAGTCTTTTTAAATTATCCGTAGCAATGCATCTAGAAGTATTTGGACAAACAGTAGAATTTCTTAGAGTTGAGTTGAATTTCTGTTCATATTTTCAAAAATTCTTGCCCAAGTTGAAAAGTCTTTGAAATTAATGTGACTCAAAAATACTTAACACTGGTTTTGTAAATTTTTTAATGTAATCTAATAGCAGGAAATTAACTTGTTTATTTATCCATTTAGGAGTTATTTATTCACTAAATTGTAATCCTAAAGGCAAGAACCTTGCCCTAATTTGTCTCTGTATTCTTAGCTGTGAGCAATAGTGTTAGGTATGTAGTAGGACATCAGCTAAAGACTAATGATGGAATAATGACATGGAAAGCTAACAGTGCTAAAAGGAACATACTGCTGTTTTTCTCACTTTATAGTTGAGAAAAGGGACAGTTAGAGAGTTTGAAACAAGATTCACACTTAGGAAGCTGCAGAGTTTAGGCAGTCTGATTTTAGAATTTACATATAAACACACTTTTTCTTTTAAAAGGATAATAATTTACACATTATAAATTCATCTTTATTGTACAGTTCTGTGATTTTTGAAAAATAGTCTTGTAACCATTACCACATTGAAGGTATAAAACAGTTTTATTAGCTCAAATTCTTTACCCACATCTTTTTGTTGTCAATCTTTTCCCCTACCTCCAGCCCCTGACAAATGCTGGGGACATTTTTTATCTTCATCCTTTTTATCTTTTCCAGAGCATCATATAATGGAATTATACTGTCTACACCCTTGAAAATCTGGCTTCTTTCACTTATTATAATACAGATGAGATTCATCCATGTTATTGTGTATTTTAATAGTTTACCCTTTTAATTGCTGTGTAGTATTTCTTTAGATAAATTTTGTTGCATCAGTTGAGGGATATTTGGGAATCTCCAGTTTTATTTCTTTTCCAAAATTATTATCTATTATTTCTTTTTCTTGCACAATTACTTTGAATAGGGCCTCTGTTATCATGTAAAAAAGAAYGATAACTACTGTCATGTATATTTAAAAAGAACAAATAAAAAAAGACTGGTAAGATGTGGTAAGATTTATATTCCTGCTTTGATATTAAACTGGGTGTAAAAGCTCTCAGTCTTTTATAACTTAGTGGTTATGTTTCTGTAGCTGTTTGTTGTATGTTAAAGTTCCCTTCTGATCTAGCTTGCTGAGAGCTTTTAATCAAAAAAAGAATGTTGAATTCTGTTAAATGTTGTTCTTCATCTCTGGGGATGATCACATGATTTTTCTTATTTAATATGTTGAGATGAATTACATTGATTAATTTTCGAATGTTGAACCAGCCTAGTACAGCTTAGATAAAATCCACTTGGTCTTGGTATATTATTATTCTCATTTATTTCTGAAATTGTTTTGCTAGTGTTTTGTTGAGAACTTTTTCATCTATTTTCATTAGGGATATTGATTTGTAGTCTTCTTCCTGTTTCTTTGTCTGATTTGGTATCTGTATAATGCTGACTATATAAAATGGGTTGTGAAGTATTTACCTTTCCTATAATTCAGATAAAATTGTTGAAAGTTATTATTTTAAAATTTTTTTAGTTATAGATGGACACAATATCTTTATTTTATTTATTTATTTTTATGTGGTGCTGAGAATTGAACCCAGTGCTTCACACATGCGAGGCAAGCGCTCTACCATTGAGCTACAGCTCCAGCCTGAGAATTATTATTTTTTAAGGCTTGCAAAAAAAAAAAGAAGAAGAATTACAGTAGACTTCTCACATGAAAATTATACAAGTTATGAAATGGTGTCTTTTGTCCACTCCTAGAATTTTTCAGTAAAGACTTTTGAGCTTCAAATTTTCTTCATGGAAAAGTTTTGAAATRCAAATTAAATTTCTTTAATAAATATAAGATTATCTGAGTTATTTGGCTTTTTTATAAGTTAGTGTTTTTCAAGAGTTTTGTTTGTTTCCTCTATGAGCATACTACTTCCTTACTACCCTCTTTCTTTTTTTTTTTTTTTAGTTTAATGGGGTTTGTTTTATTTTAAGTTTTAAACATAATTACTGAATAATTAAAGATACATGGCATTCTTACAGAATTTGGAGATATATATATATATATGTTGTATTCTAGTCTATTCTATTCTAGTCTATAAATTAAGTTGAATAAATTTTTTTGTGTTTTGCTTAAGTTAGTTGTTAGTTCCCTTCAAATCTGATTAGATAGAGCCAAACTTTTATCATAAACCTGTTAAGGACATACTCTGTTTTTCCTCTATTCTTTGTCTTTGCCTTAATATTTGGCACACTATGACTTCATAAGTGTGCCATCCTTCAYCCTCATAACCATGTTCTGTTTAGGTATTGGTTGCATGGCATTTGCAGGTAAATGGATGGAGTTGGAGAATATAATGCTAAGTGAAGTTAGCCAATTCCAAAAAACCAAATGTCGAATATCTTCTCTGATATAATGTGGCTGATTCATAGTGGGGGTTGGGAGGGGGAGCATGGGAGGATTAGACGAACTCTAGATAGGGCAAAGGGGAGGAAGGGGAAGGGAGGGGGCATGGGGGTACAAAAGATGGTGGAATGTGATGGTATCATTATCCTAACTACACGTATGAAGACATGAATGGTGTGAATATATTTTGTATATAACCAGAGATATGAAAAAATATGCTTTATATGTGTAATATGAATTGTAATGCATTCTGCTGTCATATATAACAAATTAGAATAAAAATAAATTAAAAAAGAAGCATATTGTAATACAGACTGTTGTTTTAGTTTCCAACATCAGCTGGATACACAAGAGAGAGAGAGGGAGGGAGGGAGAGAGAGAGAGAGAGAGAGAGAGAGAGAGAGACAAAGAGAAAGAGAAAATTACTTGTGCATAGCAATATTAGACACTGTAGATCTAATAAAAGGAGTGAATAGGTTATAGCACTGGGAATCCACTATTGGCATGATGTTGAATTCCAGGTAAGCATGCTGCATCCTCAATAGATGAATTTTAGCCTATCTATTAGACATAAAACARTGCAAGTGAGGATTTCTGTAGCAAAACTGAGGCATCAGTCTCCTTGCCCCACCTCAGGGCACAGCCCCTCTCCTCTTGGTAATGCTGTCTCAAGAAATCAGAGGAAACAGTATTACTGAAAAACTACTTTATGCAGTACAAAGTGCAGAGACCCCAAAGCAAACACTATCAATAAAGCATTGCAGATCATGGTTTTATGGCCCTATTTTTCTAAAGATACTTAAGTGAATCCATTGCTTCTGGCTGTTCACAACAGTCACCATCAAAGTCACTATTTATCATTTAGCATATCATATGACTTGAACCTAAATTCTATAGTTTCTTATAAATCTATTTGCTCTCTATGCCAATTTTCTTTTTATCTCTCTCTAAAACCTCTGCACCATGGCTTCATGGACTTACCTACTTCTCTTTTCCAGCACCATCACTTTTACACTCTACCCTGTCAGAGCATCCCCATACAGTCTCACCTAAACTCTCATTATCCTCTGCAAAATTTCTTACTACTCTCTTAAAGTTTATGGTATTTATAGTGCGGTTCTCTCTTTTTTTCTTGATACTGGATTTTTGTTTGGGGATCTGTCTAGTAGAGATGGTCTAACTATTTTCTAAGGAATTGGTTTTTGTTTTCATAAATTTTTCTTTTTTGCCTTTTGATTTCATTCAATTGGTTACTGAGAGTAGTGTGCAAGTCTTGAACTCTACAAGTGGATTTGGCTATTTCCATTTTTCATTTCTGTTAGTTTTTGCTTCTTGTAGTTTGAAGCTTTCTTGTTAAATATACACATTGATATCTTTGTTACTTTGAGATGTACCATTTTATCTTTTAATATTTCTTGTCCTAAAGTACTTTTATGTCAGTGAGGCTGCCC